AATTTTCTCACCTTAAGAGTATGCAAGAAAACTATTGTTTCACTTGCAAAGGCTCCATCGTCGGATTATTTAACATTAAAAAAAATTCAAGAAAATAAAGAGAAAAAAACGATTGCTTTTGTATAGGAAAAATTAATACTTTCAATTTTTCCCATTTTCTTCAAAAATCCATTTTTGAAAAACTATTTTTAAAGAAAATTAAAAATAACCTTTCAACTTTTTTTCAAAAATATTTTTTATAAAGCCTTATTTCAAGGAAAAATTGAATACTTTCCAACTTTTCTTCAAAAAAATTTTTTAGAAAGTTTATCTTCAAGGAAAATTGATACTTTCAACTTTCCTCAAAAATATATATTTTTTAAATTTATTTAGAAAATAAAATAAATAAAATAAATAAAAAATAAAAAATATTCAACAACAATAATAATATAATAATAAATAATAAATAAATAAACGAAAAAAAAAACCTAGAACGACTCAGCTTAGTGGCTCGCTTCGAAAAAAATGACTCGGAGAAGCGGTCCACCACGCGGGTTAAAGCAGGTTAAGCGCTCGGGTCGGCATCGTCTGACTTCAAAAACGTGCGGATCTTCTGGCACAGTGACGTCAAAACGACATCGTTTTGACTAGGTATAAAAGGCTAATTACTCTATTTTTAGCAGATCGAGCCTTCCCTCTCTCTTTCTTCCCTTCCTTTCCTCTCCCTTCTCTCTAAACTACAAAGAACTCCGGTTAAATCTCGTTGGATTTTAGAAATTTTCGTCGGAATCTGGATTTTTCGTCGAAAGTTCACCTAAAAATTAATCGATTTCTGGAAATAGTCACCAAAAACTGGGAAGTTGTCCGAAAAATTCAAACTTCACCAAAAAATTCAATCGAAATCGAGAAATATTCTAGAAATTTCCAGAAAAAAATTCGCCAAAAATTCTAAAAAAATTCTCACCGATTCCTAGAGCTATTCTAACGCATCGAAACCCTTTTTTAGCTTTTGTTTCTTCTCTGTGTGTCTTCTGTTCTATTCTAGCTACTATTTATAGGGATTGATCAGAAGAGTTTCTGATCAATCCCAACTATTTCTGGGATTTGGATTCAATCTTTGAATCAAATCCCAACTCTGTCAATTCTCAAATCACAGTCAAATTCATTCCAATTTTTTTATTCTAATCCTAATCTTAACCGAAAATTAATTAAAATAAAAAGATAAATATATTAATAGATAACAAAAAAAATAGATAAATAAAAGAAATAAATAAATAATAAAAAAATAAAAGCAAATAAATAATAAAAATATAAATAGATAAAAAAATAAAAATAAATATATATATTAATAAATAGACAAATAATAATAATAAAATAATAATAATAATAAAAACCCATTGGACCAACTAATTGGATCTTAAACTGGGTTCAATAAACTTAGACCCAAACCCTATTGAACTAGATCTAATGACCTTAAGTCCGGACCAAATAAAATGTTTACAACGTTAAAAAATAATATTAAATCAATACGATCCATTAACATATGAATTAATATTTAAATTATTGTGCTGGCCCAACATAACCCATTTTACACCTCTACTTGCACCATCTCAAATGATGACGACGACGATGAAAAGAGCAATAGCAATAGAAACCTTAACAAATATAAACAGGACACTTCGGGAATTCCATTTTAACAGGCATAAGATTAAGACATTGACAACGGAAAAATTTTGGCAATTATAATAAACAATTTAAAATGTCTGAGATAAAAATGAAAAAAATTGCTCAGCGATTGACAAGAGATGAGCTCAACATATTCCTATGTTTCGATGCCTAAGGTTCAGATGACATCTTCGAGAATTGTGATTTTTATTGATTTTTTTTAGTTGTCGGGGTTTTCATTCGGAGAATTCACTATCATGGAGTGTAGATTCTAACATAAAATATAAATGATATATTAGTACTCGTAAGTTATTCGAGTTCAATTCAAATAAAATTCGAATTCAGTTCGATTATTATTGAGTCGAGCTCGAGTAGTTCGACTCATCGATTGAGTTGAATTCAAGTATTCTTATATCCGATTCGAGTAACTCGTAAGTTTAATTGAGTTTTTATATTTAAATATTTTTTATTATTTTAATCAATAAAATATCACGAATTCAAGTTCGAATTTAAGTACAAATAATCGAGCTCTTTCGAATTTAAGAATCGAACGTATTTTTACATATTAATCGAACGAACTCGAGTAACTTGATTTCGATTACGAATCGAACTCGAGTTAAAAAAATAAAATTCGATCAAATTCAAACCAAGTATCAAATCACGAGTTAGAAATCGAATTCGAACTCAAATTTTTTATTGTATCAATTTGACTCAACTCTATTATATTCCTATTCCAGGAGAAACAGAGCAACGGCTTGATTTCACACGGAAAAGCATATATTATATATATAATATAAAGGAAAGACATGCAGCAGGGTATAAAAGAAGCAAATTTCTTGATGTTTTCAGTACTGAAACCTGAAACTGATTTCTTTTCCCCGTAGCATTGGCTATAAGTTAATTGGCCTGAAGTTCACATTCGGATCATGTAAGTCTCTCATTCTTTAATCATTTAAGAATATCATCTCGTTGTTGGCTCTTTGCTTAAAATCAATACTGCTAGTAAACTTATAAGTTTCATTTGGATTTTTTCGCACTGCAAATATGATGAAATACAAAGGATTTTTTTTCTTTTTTTTTTTTTTTTCTCAATGTATGAGATGCTTTTGGATAGAACTTAATGGACAACTTCATTGTCCTTTCAGCTTGAGGAAAGGATCCAATAAATCACTAAATCTAATGCAAGAATTTTACCAATTTAAAGCTGAAATTTGAAACAAATAGTCAATAACATAATATTAAAGTTGTTTCATTTATGGGATTCAAGTGACAAAAAATTCAATTTTTCTTTAATAAGGTATTGATTTTAAGTCTTGTAAATGAAAAAATATAAATTTGAAAGAATTTGTTTTTCTTATGAGATTCGAGTCGGCTCTATTCAAGATTAATCAAGACCTAAAGTGACTTCCGAATATCAAGAGTCCCAAACAAAAAAAAAGTTATCCCCATTCAATCTAATGCGAGAATTTTGTCAACTTAAACTTTAATGTTTTGTCATTTGTCTTTTAATTAGTTTTGGGGCCAACTTAAGGTTTAATGTTATGTTATTTGTCTTTTGATTAGATCTTTTTTTAATCATGTGTGCCACTTAGTTTATGCAAGTCTTACATGTGTATTTTTTTTTTCTCTTTTTAATAGTAATTTTTTTTTATTATTTAAATTAATTTATTTATGAATTTTTATTTTTCTTTTTAAAAATATTTTTCATAAAATTTTATACTTTTTTTTTATATTTTTCAAATAATATGTTAAAAATTGATTAGTTGGGTAAAAATGTTTTGAATAATTAGAAGTGATAAAGAAAAAAATAAAAATGATATAATTGATTAATAATAGTTACCTCACTTTTAAATAAAATAGTAATAGATAAAATATATTAATCAACATAATAAAAACAAATTAAAAAACATACTAATTTTTTTCTCTAATTAAATCTCCACATTTCTTTAACACATACAATTCTAAATTTTTAAAATTTTAAAATTATTTTTATTTTTTAGCATTTAAATGTATTGTTTATCAATATTATAAAAAAATAAAGAAATAATACTAAAATAATTAAATTCAAATTTTTTTAGTCTCCATCTCAAATTAGATATGAATATTCAATTTGAAATGAAAAAAAATCAAATTATATAATATTATAAATAATTTTAAAATTTATTTCAATGACTTCACAGGATAAATACAATCTAAAATAAATTATATCATAAGTTAAATGATTACTTTCATTTATAACTAAATCGTGTAGGTTTGATAAAAAAATATTTTGTTTTTACATAAAAAAATCAAATATGAATGTTTGGATAAATCAATTTTAAAATAATTGGTTCCATTATTACAAAACCACCTCAAAATTGACTTAGTCCAAAAAAATTATTTACGTTTTATTTTTTAAACAATTTGACATCAATAGATTCCATTATCACCAAATTGCCCCAAATTTAGTTTGATTTCAATAATTAAAATTTTTACCTTTTATATTTATAATCATTTTTAGAAGGAGAAAAAAAATCAAATACAAATATTATTACAAAAAAATTTCATGTCTTCAAAAATACAAATTGTTTTTTGTAAATGAGAAATAATAAAATTTATTGCAAATTAATTATTTGAATTATCAATTTATTTTTTTCTTAATTAATATAATCTTTTTAAAAACTATTCTTTATAATATTTACTTTTATTTTTATTAACTAATATTATTTAATTTAAAATGATTTTTTATAAATAAAAAAAATCCGAATCAAAGCGAGGCTCCATTCTAGATCATATTAAGCATTGACTTTGAAATTTTGAGGATTGTCCTGATTTTATAATTCTGCTAATGAAAATTCCAAGTTAAACATGAAAATTGTAATTCTGCAATGAAATTTCACATTTTTTCAAATGAGAAGGACTTGACTTTGAAAATTATTACTCTTTTTTTGACAATATAATTGCCCGTCAATCACGTATTAAAATACCCTTCCGTGACCGGCAACCAACACTACACTAAATTCCATAGGCGGGTCACCTAAGTGTCAGGTAATCCAATCGTCGTCTCCCACTCACAGTCACTACCAACCTCAAGAAAGAAAAAACAGAAAAACACAGCCCGAGTCAAAACGATACACGGCTCTGTTTGCCCCAACTCTTCCAGAATTTTCCTCTCCCCGATTTTTATTTTTCTCCCTCAATTTCCAGCATTATTGAAAATTAAATTTTTTTTTCCAGAATTAGAGGAATGAGCGATGCTGGTGAATGGTGACGCAAAAAATAAGGAAATTCCAAAAATAAAAAATGAAAAATCAGGGGATGGTCATCGGTCATGAAGCATGACGACGATCATGTTATCGTCGTATATGTATGACCAGGTAGTGACAGCGTTATGGTGCAGATGCTGACGTAGCATCCAAGACCGAAAATTGAGGGATGTTTGTTTTTTTAGTTCGCGCGTGTCAGCGAGTGTAAGAGTTATAAATAGCCCATGGCAACGGCTTCTCTGGTTCAAGCAGGATGTGGTTTTTCTCCGAGATTCAGTAGTAATAGTAATAATTTTAGTTTCAGAACCGGTTCCTTTGGACCGTTGGGCTCCTCCACTTCTTCCTCTTGCTGCTCCTGTTCTTCTCACAATTTGAATTTCTCTTCCGGTAATGTTGTTTTTGCTTAATTTTTTTTTACTTTGCTTAATTAGGAGAGGATTTGTATATATATATTTTTTTGAATTTGTGATTTGATAATGCTAATATGAATGATTGACGATATTAAAAGAAATTTTTTAAAAAATTAATTTTTTTTCATTAATTTTGTTTAGGAATTGAGAATAGGAATGTAGAGAATTGAAACATGTTAATTGGTAATGAAACAAACTTGTGGAAAACTGGAAGTGCATTTTGCTTTAATAATCATTTGAATTGTTGATATTACCTTTCTGTTCAGCTGACTTGATTTTGTTAAACTTGTACAGGAACAAATAGTAATTGGAAACATCAAGGCCTTATAGCTCAATTTATGAGTACCACTACTCAAGGAAACTTTGCGTCATCCAAGAGCATTGCAGACGGGAAAAATGAGCCTGATCACCTTCTTGTTCTTGTTCATGGAATCCTAGCTAGGTATTTGACTAGTGACTATGTGGTTGAATTGTAGTTGATCAAATACTATTTTCATAGAATCAGTTGCTTAAATCAACAAGTATGCGTAACAGAGTTGAATGAATGTAATAAACTGTTGTCAATACTTAATAGCTTAGACGTACATTTGTGAATCTGTGAAAGTAATTAATGAAAAAATGTGATTCTTTTGTTTTCAAATTGATGTCAAATTGGCTGACACCTTCCATGATGTAGCCCTAGTGATTGGACATATGTAGAGGCAGAGTTGAAAAGGCGGCTTGGAAGAAACTTTCTGATATATGGTATGTTCATATCTTCAATCTCATGTAATTTGTATGTTTAAAGACAATTTCTTTTTACTTATTTATTTAATAATTTAATAATTTGTTGCAGCAAGTTCATGTAACACCTATACTAAAACCTTTACTGGGATTGATGGAGCTGGGATTCGATTAGCAGATGAAGTGAGTTGTTTTATCTGTCTCAAACTATGTGCATATAAGTGTTGGCTTCCTTGGCATGTTTTCATACCTTGTGAGTTTTGTGGAATGACTTTTAGTGTGCTGCACTATTGACTACTCCCTTCAACTTGTTTTGGTTTAATAGGTCCTGCAAGTTGTAAAGAAGACTGAGAGCCTGAAAAAGGTTTCGTTTTTAGCCCATTCTCTTGGGGGCTTGTTTGCAAGATATGCAATAGCTGTTCTTTACTCACAAAATGACTCAAGGGGTACCCAATCTAATACTGTAACTAATTCTTTGGATGGAAATTCTCAAAAATCATCCCCTTCAAGACAAGGTATGATTGCTGGACTGGAGCCAGTCAGTTTTATTACCTTGGCAACTCCACATCTTGGGGTGAGAGGGAGAAAGCAGGTTTGTTCTAGAGGGTGTTGGTTATCAAGTTTATTTCATACACAATACTTGAGTTACAAATGATGTTGGAGATAGAGCTATGCAAACTAGTGGTGTCCTATAATTCCTATGTTATTGCCACGCTGCTTGCATCTCATTGGATACAGTGTTCAATGTTTAAAATGCTTATTTAGTGATCAATTGTACTACAATCATCTTTCCTCTGCATTGTGCAGTTTCTAATATAGTCTTTGTGGTGCCTCAGCTTCCATTTCTATTAGGAGTTCCTATTTTGGAGAAACTTGCCCCACCAATTGCTCCATTTTTTGTTGGTCGAACTGGTAAGCAACTATTTCTCACTGATGGCAAACCCAGCAGACCACCACTGCTTTTGAGGATGGCATCTGATTGTGAAGATAGAAAATTTCTGTACGTAAAGCAAGCTTTTACAGTGACTGAAGACACTTGCTTTTGTTCTGATTTTATTATTGTTATTGTTATTCAAATGAGGATGTCCAAGGGGGAAGGTGTGGATTTGAACCTTGGACCTTAACTCCTCAAGATACCACTGGGCCAAGTCTAGGTTGTTTCTGTGACTGATTTTATGATTATAATTTCTATGCTACAGATCTGCCCTTGGTGCATTTAGGTGTCGAATTGCCTATGCAAATGTATCTTATGATTGTATCCTGCCGAATCATTTCTCTCTTCTACTTGTTGATTTCCTACTTGTTATCCCTCTCGTCCACCCTATGGGTACTTTCTTTGACATCAAATAGATATGGTTGGTTGGCGTACATCCTCTATCAGGAGGGAGAAAGAACTTGTCAAGGTAAATTTTCTTGTACATCTGTACCTAAAGATGTGATGCGCTGTCTCTTAGAACAACCAGCACCTAAATTAGAATTATTGAGGGAATTAAAGTAGATGAAATAGAAGTACTGCGCAAGAGTCATCCTGACTTAATTCATATTCCTGACATTTATTCGTATTTGGCAGCCCCCACTACAATCTTTGGATGGTTACAAACATGTTGTCGATGTGGACTACTGTCCACCAGTTTCTTCTGACGGCCCTAATTTTCCTCCGGAAGCTGTCAAAGCAAAGGAGGCAGCACAGAATGCACCCAGCATAAAAAATACCGTGGAATATCATGAACTCATGGAAGGTAACCATTTCTTCTGATGTCTTATGTTGTGGCATCCATATGATAACATTCTGATTGTCCCCAGACAATTACACCCCTTTCATTTTGTTAACAGAGGAAATGATTCAAGGTTTACAGAAATTGGGATGGAAAAAAGTTGATGTCAGTTTTCATTCTGCACTTTGGCCCTTTTTTGCCCACAATAACATCCACGTATCATCTCAATCTTAAAACTTTTGATTCAGAAAAATGTTTCTCCTTTAGACTTTTCATATGATTTTTACCCCCTTATTCAGGTGAAAAACGAATGGTTTCATAATGCTGGCGCTGGAGTGGTTGCTCACGTTGCAGACAGCATTAAGCAACAAGAATCCTCTTCATTTATTTCTGCTAGCTTGTAGCCACGAATTTTATGCAAATGCACTGTGCAAGTGTGCCTGAAGCTTATTGTAAAAGATAAACTACAAGATGAGATGAAGAAAATGAATCATCTCTCATCACTTATTGATTAAATCCCATTTCCTTACCAAAATAAAATGGGGTATGATTTAATTTAGCTTGATCAAAGACACCAATTGGGACCGTATAGCAAAGGCAGGAATAATGCTTAAAAGAACTCCATAACAACTGTTCTATTTCTTCAATCTACTTCAAAGTTTGCAATTTTTTTTATAGGGACAACGAATCAACCAATCAAATATTTAATTTGACTACAAACTTGTGGTCCTAAACGTTAATTCGGATTAGTCAAACTCAGTTCTTTTATTTAGCGGCAGAATTTGGGTTCTGAGGGCACGATTCATTTCACGACATTGAATGGTAGATTTGGGCTTTGGTGAAATAATTAAACAAATATATATTTTTAGAAGGTACAGCCGAGTGGAGAGTAGCCAACTTAAATTCACCTAGAACTGTAAAAAATTGATAGATACTTTAGATGAAGCATGGGATAAGGGATTGAAGGGTGGAATGTTTTGCGTTTATGGGCCACCAGACTTTGAGGATGGGCAGGAAGTGTGGAGGTTGATAGAAAGTTTTTGGCTAATTCTAGCTTTGCGGCTGAAGCCTTAGAAGTCAGGGATCAGGGAATTGATAATTTAATAGAGAAAATGCAGCTCAAGAAGATTATTGAGGAGACTGAATCATAAATTCTGCATAAGAAAATGCATAAAAGCAATAATGTAAAAATAAAAGTATAATTAATTGAGTTTGAATTGATATAGTATTAAGTTTGAATTTGAATTTAATTTTAAATTTAAAGCTCAAAACTTTATTTGAATTCGGTCAAATTTTATTTTTCAGTTCGAATTTGATTTGAGATAAAAATTAAACTACTCGAATTTGTTCGATTAAAATTGATTAATATATAAAAATAAGTTTAATTTTTATATTAGATAAAAAATTAATTATTTGTATTTGAGTTTAAGATATTTTATTAATTAAAATATAAAAATTTAATTAAACTCTTAAATTACTTAAATCAAATATAAAAATATTTAAATTCAATTCGATTAATAAATCAAATTATTCAAACTCAAATTTCACTAAATAATAATTAAATTTAATTTAAATTTTATTTAAATTAAACTTAAATAATTTATAAATATTAATATATTATTTACATTCCCAAACACTGCCTGTTATAAGGGATATGTGGGCAAAAAGAAATAAATTCGATGAATTCAGAGTTTATTGGATTCACAGGACTGCAAACAAGGCAGCAGATTGGGTTGTCACTTGCTAGGCAGTTATAGACTTGCTCTATAGCTTGTAATTTCCCTTCTGTTGGTATAATAGAATTTTTAGTTGGATGAAAAAAAAAAAAAAAAACCTGAAATTCACTTAAATGCTGACCTGTCACCTCATTTGCATTTTTTCCTTCAACCTTCTAAAAATAACACTTTTGGATCAAATCATTACGGTCCAAACTCCTTGAAACGACCTCGTAACTTTGCCTACTTTAATGGAGTGGTTACCACAGTCCAAATCTGTCGTGGGTCATCGACATTCCAAATCAAGGCCGGCCAGTCCTGTCTTATCCCCGTTCCCTCCATTTTTGCTTATTTTAGTTCTCTCTGACTGGTGCTCTCCAACCACCGCCCAAAAAAACATCTTCTTCCACGCTTCACGTTGTCTTTAACTCGGCCATGGGTTTCTCCAAAGAACGTGAAAGCCTCGTTACATTGCCAAGCTCGCTGAACAGGCCGAACGCTTCGAAGGTCCGATCTAACCAAGCAAGGCCTTAATATTGGTTCTTTTCTGTTTTTTTTTTTTTTTTTTTTTACTTTAACAGTTTAAACTGTGGGTTTTTTTTTTTTTTGTTACAGATATGGTGGGTGCTATGAAAAAACTAGCGGAGCTTGATGTAGAACTTACCGTAGAGGAGCGAAACCTACCTCTCAGTTGGGTACAAAAACGTAATCGGTGCTCGAAGAGCATCGTGGAGGATGTTATCTTCGATTGAACAAAAGGAAGAGACCAAACAGAATGAGCAAAATGCTAAGCAAATAAAAGGGTATATGCAGAAAGTGGAATTGGAGTTGTCTAATATTTGTAAGGATGTTATGAGTTTGATCAATGAGCATCTCATTCCTTCTTGTTCGGAAGGAGAGTCTACTGTGTTTTATTATAAAATGTGAGTATCTTTTTGGGTTTTTTCGGTTGATTGATTATGTGGGAGGTTTTTCTTTTTTTTTTTTTGGGGGGGGGGGGGGGTTGTTTGGTTGCAGGAAAGGGGATTATTATAGGTATTTAGCGGAGCTTAAGATGGGTGATGAGAGGAAATAGGCTGCTGATCAGTCCATCAAAGCATATCAGGCGAGCTTATTATGGTTCACTTATGTTTAAATTGACTTAAATGAGGAATTTTGACTTATAAAATGTTGGTTGTTTTATGGACATGTAGTTTGGTTGTTAAATGAACATTTTTACTTATAAATTGTTAGTTGTTTGTTGTATTTTCCTCATATTATCTGGAGAAGTGAAGGGGAAATAAAATTAGGAAAAAATCATTACTTGCTTGCATATTTTTTCCATCCGTTTCTCCCTCTCCATTCTTGGGATAAACTATTGGTGGTCCAGAACTGTTTGTGGGTTAAGACAAAGGTGAAGTTTCTTAGGTGAAATTTGTTAGGGTCCTCAATGAAATCAGGCCATGTTAAAATTATTGATTCCGCACCAATTGCTTCCTAATTTTTTAGCTTTAACTACCAATGTTGAGTTTGCAATTTTAACACATGGCATGATTTAGTTAAAGCCTATATTTATGAATCAAATGTCATAAACGGGAATTTAAAATATATATATTTACGCTGCCATTTTTTTTCAATGAAGCGAATTCTGTCTGACAATGTTTTCCTCTCACTCTCTCAGATTATTGTTATCCTTTTATGACGGCTACTGGAGTTATATACGTTAGATTCCTTCTGCTGAGCTTAATAAGTTGTTTACCTTGTGCTATGAAATCTAAGATGGCTATAACCCTTTCCAAATGTCCATTTTATTATCATGCCTAAATTGATGAGTCTGTATGTTATTTGCTTGCAGTCAGCAACTAATACAGCAGAAGCTGAGTTGCATTCTACACATCCTATCCGGTTGGGTTTGGCCTTGAACTTCTCTGTCTTTTATTATGAAATTATGAACTCTCTGGAAAGGTATGCATGCTGTTTCCTATGTATTAACTTTCTAGTTGAGATGTTTCTGGATAATTTTGGAAATCCACGTTACCTGTTAAACTTGTACACCAGGGCCTGTCACCTAGCTAAACAAGTTTTGATGAAGCTATCTCAGAGCTTGATACCTTGAGCAAGGGGTCTTATAAAGACAGTACATTGATTATGCAGCTCTAGAGGGATAACCTGACTTTATGGACTTCCGACATCACAGAGGATGGAGGTAATTTTTTAGATTTTGCACAAGAGAATGGTTTAACTAGATTTTGCCTCTTAATGTCACTTTTAGGTATTCAAATAGTTATGTAAGACGTATCTTATGCCTTTCCTATTCGAAACTTTTCATTAAAATTGATATCTTTGGAATATTGCACCTTTCTGTTTGTATAATATGATGGATAAATCTTACAACACATTGCCAGTTAAGATCCAAATGTATTGAATATTGCTAGATATGGTTCTTAAAATGTTATCTACTATTAGTTTTGCGTCAATATTTAAAGGCTGGTTGTGAGATTTGTGCCCTTTTTCTTTTGCTAGTTTTACCATAAATATTTTCAAATTTGTTAGTTGATGGAGAGTTTTCGGAATGATGGCATTACATCAAGCATTCAAGGTGAAAAATATTGTGTGACAATCAAATAGGAACTAGATTTTGGCTTGGTTCAGTTATACAAGTGCAATTGATGTTGGAAAAAAGACAGATAAGATCCGTTAAGCTCAAAGTAGTCATATAAGTTATTAAGGATTTATGGCTTGTTAATTTTTCTAGTAATTCATGGAATGCCACAAACTATAGTTAATATCAGCTTTCGAGAGTATTCAGTGGGTGAGCTGTTGTTATTGATATGTCTTTCATCTGGTTTTCTTGGATTAATACATAATTTTCTTGTTTCTTGGAATTAGTGTTTAACAATGTCATTTATTTGTTTCATTACAGAAGAAGCTGCAAAGCTTGATGCTGCTAAAGTTGGGGAAGGAGAAGAATGAAGTTATTATCTTATTAAGAAATAGTTCCATCCAATGTTTTTGTAACCAGACTGGCAAGCAAACCGGTAATATGAGAATTTCCGGTTCAATCAGTTTGACCTGATGGTTCAACTTTAAAGAAAGTTAACACTTTCATCATTAATTAAAAAGGATTAAAAACAAAGAATGAACAAAATTTTGTAGCTTATAATTGTTTGATTTTTATCTATTTTTATTTGTCTATGTTTTTGTTGTTGTTACAGTAACTTGGGACCTGTATCATGAAAGGAAGTATTTTACCCTGTTTGCAAGAGAGATTCAACTATTTTCATTTTCATATGAGCGTTTGGATGTATTAGTAATGATTGTTTGATTTTTGGACTGTGCAGTGTGAATTACATTTTACATTTTCTACAGCCTCTCTTGTACATCCTTCCTATTGATCAAGTCAGATATATTCTCAGGGATGATTTTTTTATTCTTTTGCTTTATTAGAAACTTTGTTAATTGAAAATCCAAATCCATTTGGATCTTTGACTGGAAAAGTTTTGAGATTTGCCTTACATGATGTTCATGGACATGGGATATTGGGATATCCACATGTAATTTCTTGGTTGAGATAAAAAAAATGGGAGAAGTTGAGGACTGAGGAGGATCTCAGACTAATTCACCTAACATTATGGGAATTTAATCAGTAAATTAGAGAATTCTCAGAGAAAATTGAGAGATGAACGGGTCAAATAAATTGTTCTACAAACACGGGAGAAATGGCAATGTCACCGAGATGCATAGCAAAACCCCCCCTTATAAAAGAACAACCTCTCTTGCTTCCATATAGTTGTATTTTGACATCGAATTTCCATCCCAAATCAAAACAGAGAAAATGGCAACAACTCCCAAGGCTATCTTCTTCCTTGCCTCGGCCCTTTGCTTCTTACTCCTCCTCAGTATTGTTCATGCCGAAGCTCCCGAGCACTTCTTCGTGGAAGGAAAGGTTTACTGTGACAACTGCCGTGCTCAGTTTGTAACCCGGATCAGCAAGTACATTGCAGGCAAACCCACAATTTGTTGTTATTGTCATTGTTTTTTTTTTTTTTTTTCTCTTAAAGCTTCAACAATGTTTGATAAAATTAAATGTCTCATAAATTGTGAGGTTTCTTATGACACAAGGTAACGCATTGGTGTAAACAGGTGCACAGGTGCGATTGGAGTGCAAAGACCGTGCAGACGGGAGGCTGACCTACGCCGTAGATGGTGAGACTGATGCGTCGGGGACCTATCATCTTAAGGTGGAGGGAGACCATGAGGAGGAGATCTGCGAGGTTGCACTCGTAAGATCAAGCGATCCTGAATGTGCTGAGATCGACGTTCAAAATTATCTTAGGAAGAGTGCTCGGATTGTCCTAACCAAAGACACTGGCATCTGCTCCGATCATCGCATGGCCAACCCTCTTGGATTCATGGTAAAGCAACCTCTGCCTGAGTGCACTGAAGTCCTCAGAGAACTCGGAATCACCTCTACTGGCCTCGTATAAAGGACATTCGTTTAATGGCAAAACAAAAGTGAAAGTTCATCCGCCTATTGAATAAACCCAGTTTTTCTTTTCCCCATCTTTTTTTTTTTGGCAATATCGTCTAGCCTAAGGAAAGCTCCATAGCTATTATGAAATGAAACTAGTACTCCTATATCCTAGCTGGTGAGTTTTGCAAGAATAGTTTCCAAAAAGTCTGTCTTGCACGTAATATGCTTATTGTTTATTCATATGGGATTCTAACATGGATCTTGCTTCTTGCTTTTAAACTGTCTGAGATGTTCAAATACTACTGATTTTCATGACTGGACTATGGATGATTTGTGATGGATTTAAGTTGATAATTGCTCTAAACCTTTGATTACATTTGATAAGCAATCTCTTGTGCAATGTTCTAATTGATTATCCAACCGGCAAAGAAAGATGGGCTATTATAAAAGAGAATAAGATCATCAAGATTTTTTTTTTCTCTCGAAGATTATTACTTACTAGTAGACATGATTGTGCCTAATATTATATATAAATTTGATTAACTTCAGCACATTTACATTTCTAGACTCTAAAAGCATCAACTTTGCTACAAATCCTTCAAATGTTTACCATAACAAAAGGAAAACCGACACCAAATTCTTGTGTACCACAACAAAAGAAACTTTTTAAAAGTTCTTTTCTTTCTCAAGTCTTGAAACTTTGGATATGGACTTTAATGAAACAATTTAGCAATGTTTCTAAAGTACCATTGTTTAGAAAATTCCATACCCTGACAGCTAATGGGCTAACTTTCATTAGTTTAGATATCGGTTTACAGTACTATTTGACTGTAAGTCATTAGTTAGTGAGAGTGTGAAACCATTCTTATTCGTATTCTTTGACACACTGATTCTTCTTGATGACAACATTAACATGAATTGTATATTACTTCTTCGTTATTGGTTCATTTTCTTTTTTCTTCCCCTGCTTATCTGAAACATGAAAATCTTGCGGACGATGTTGATATAGGGAAACAGTACATTGTAACAATTCCAAAATTCCAATTTCTTTCTGATAGGTTTAGCCCCCTATCCTCATTGAAATCTCAGCCTCTATTTATGGCATCCATTGGTCATTTGGATCTACAATTTTCACACTTCTTATTGTTTTATTCATTGTATTTAAATTAAAGATGCTTGATAACCATTCAAAACATTGTAGGATTTCATCCATGCACTTGGCAGGAATCTTGCAACGAACTGTCCTTTTCGAATGAACTTTATTTGACAAAACAGATTAAAAGAACAGTAAAGGACTGTGCAGCAAGCAAGCATTGCTGTGGAATATTATTCTTGTTCTTTCTGAAGTTATATACTTATTGGATGCACTTGTTTAAACTTAAAAGACATCGGAACCAGTTTCGACTAATCAGTAGGAACTCACCTCATGGTGGTTGATAAGATGCCTAATTCTATGCCTGAAGGCATCTTTTTTCTGTTTTTGCTTCCAAAGGCAAAAGGGGAGACAGAAAACAAAGAATCAGCTCCAAACTCCAACATAGTTAAATAGTTATATTTAGCTTCCCAACATAATCTAGCAATCCAAACCAGATAAGCAAAGGTGAATTTGAAAGCAACTAGGCTTCCTTTCGGGTTCAATCTTTTTCGTAATTACCAATTTATATAGGTACAAAAGAGGAATCAAAATGAGAGAAGTCGCCTATCAGGACAGTTGAGATAGTGATAGTTTTTCGGCTGCCGGTGTCGTTTCTGGACTAGAGGTTCATGATCTTCTTCTTTCGTGGAAAAATGGAAAGGAAGATGAGCTCTATCCCTAACTATGACATCGACTAACAGTTGACATGACTCAAGCCAGGTTGTTCATTGGAGAACAGCACCATTTATCACTGAATAATATCAAGAATCAAGCAATGATTCTTCAAGGCATGATCAATCCTTCTTTCCATCTTAAATGAAAAAAAAAATTATATATATCAAATTTAATTTGTGATCAATATGGGATTTATCTCCAATTAGACTCTTTAACACTTTGAAAACTGTAACTAGCACTCAAACAAAAAGAAAAGGAAGACGAAAACTATACTTTCTACTGATCAAAATGTTGAATTTACTATATAACTATCATTTTTACAACCCTTGTTTCCTAGAAAGTAGCAGTGTATAAATTTCCTGGATTGAAGATCAAAAGCCATTGATCTCCTTCTTTGCTTTCTGGATACATCAAAATCTCCCATAATTTGATCAGATTGGAATTCTTCCAGGCTTTTTCTCCGTAGTCTCAGTTTTCGTTCCATTTACGTTAGCTTACGTGAACCCTTTGTCCGAAGAATATTTGCTATTCTCTGCCCTATCTTATCCGTCCAATATAGCACATATATAATCAAAGATAATGATTCTGCATCCATATCCCTTGATCAACTCACCGGTGATCTTGAATTTTGATTAATTAAACTGGATCATGGGCTCCTTATCGATCGGTATGTTGACTTTGGCCTACTGACACACCACATGAACCCCAATAATCAAGCGAATAGCACATTTCTCATAATTAAATTTCAAAGCACGATCATTTGATTAATCATTGATTCTCCATTTCTTCTGCACCCAATTTTTTAGTACCCACAAAATAATTGAGAGTAACATTAGAAGACTAATTAATTAATCAAAAACCAGCCTGCATTTACATTATTATTCTATAAACCGTACAATTTTTTAATTAATCTTTGTTGAGACTTTTGCAAGCAAAGGAAAAAAAAATGAGAAAATAAAAAATACTACTATTGAAGATCAATAAGGTTGACCACCTGAGCAGCTTATCCGCCTCCGCTTCATCGGGAAAACTTGCCGGAAACCACCATTCGCTGCCGCCACGTGCCACTCATCCAGAACCATTTCCTCCAACTCAAACTGGTGCAACCCACTAGACCCATCATACAAGCACCCTTCCGGGAACCCACCGAGACCACGATCCGGTGGCTTGGCTTTCCGGCGACCAGCCCCAACAGGAACATTTCGAAGGGCCCCACCTGCCGTCCAGTACCTCTGGCAACCTTTACAGAAATGTCTAGGCTGGTTGACGTTGTAGTTATTGAAGTAACAGAATTTGGTCTCCACGCTCTTGCATCTAGGGCATGGTATGATCTTGTCTGGCCTCTTATCCACAGTTGGATGATCAGCTTTGTTGTGTTCTTCTTTTACTTGTCTTCCATGAAACGTAATCGTTGTCCCAAATAGCTTGATCCCTTGTCCTGCTTCTTGGCTAGCCATGACCATTAAGAGAAAGACAAAGACAGAGACAGGGGACGACTAAAGAGATAAGAGTTTCTTTGGTTTAAGGGCGAAAGGTGTTTGAGAGCGCATATATATATGGGGAGGAGAGTGGGGGAAAGGGAAAGCAAAAGGAAAAGCGCTAGGAATTGAAAGGAAAAAGAAGCAAGTGAAGGCAGTAGCGGCCAACGCCAAGAACAAGGTAGGTGCCGTGGAAAAGTTGACGATGAGCTTTTTGTCCACATCATTACTCCACGTCATCAATATTCAAGATATAAAAAATCCAAAAAGTGGGTCCCAATCCAGGTAGGTTTGCATACAAAGTGTCAAAGTGACGGAGAATTGGAGCATAAATAAAGTGGTAAAGTTTTGGTTCTAATGGGATTTTATTTTCTACTATTATATTTTACAATTTAAAATAAAAAAAGAAAGATAAAGATAAGGCCAAATCCTTCCTACTTTTGTTTGAAAATCTAGAATTCTTTTGATTGTTTACTTTCCATTGATCTCTTTAGTAATCTCTTTAAATTTAAATTTAAATATTTATAATTTGTTATTTTAAAATTTTTTATATACAAAAATCCACTACTAATTGCATGAAATTCGTGTATGAAATGGAAATAATTGGATCAATTTCATAAAGAAAGAAAAAATATAGTGGTTTTTTTTAAATAAAGAATAAGAACTTGATTCTCTTCAAGAATTTTATTTTTTTCACAGCTCCTATAGGGGTTAACTGCAATTCCTTTAAAATTCGTTTCCAAATCAATGGTAAATAAAATTTTCCACTTCCAAAAATCTTCAAAGATTATGATTATAAAAAAAAATGAAAAACGAAAGTTATTTTAGATGCTTCAAATTAATTAGTCTGATGTCAAATCAGATTCCACCAGTAAGCAAACTTGCCGGCATTGCATCATCACTAGACGTTAAAAAGATAACTATATCAAAAGACAAAAGAATGGGTCAGAATTTCATATCATAAAAAATTTTCATTTTAATTCTTAAAGTTGGATATCGTTTTTTAATTGTTCAATGGCAATTCTTTTTTTTTTTTTTCTTTCATGCAATATTTTTTTCAGGTTTCAATGGATTTTAATGATAACTTTGCTGCAATTTCTTTTCATCAATTGCAGATTTTTTCATGCAAAATAACTTAATTAGTTTATGGATGATATTAATTCAAGTGGGTATAGAAATTCGTATTTAATTTATAAAATATTATTTATTTTGATTTAAAAAATTTATAATTTTATTTTATAAAAAATATTTTAAAATTTTAAATTGTAAATTTTATTTATATAATATATCAAATTCTTAAAATCTTTTGGTATATGATTAAAGTGTTATAATAATAAAAAAATTGTTTTACTATTTGAGTTTAAATTTATTAAAAATTTGTGAAAAAATAATTTTTAATAAATTTATTATTAAATTCTTTAATCTTTTTCTTTAATAAAGGAATCTCATTAGATTAATGCAAAAGCTAGATCATTTCCCTTGCCTTTTCCAATTATATAATGTGGACAAAGAAGCATTTTAATTACTTTAGTTGGAAAAAGTATGCACTTTTTCTTTTCGATGCTTTGGACTTTCTTTCCAAATAAAAAAAGTTAAAGATTTCATAAAGATTAAAGAAAAAAGATTATCTTTATTGGAGCACCCTTTTTTTAACCTTTTCCATGTAGTTGCCCACTGATTTAAGTCATGAGCTCATTGCTTTTTCACTGTTGTTTTTCTTTTTTTTTTAAATGAGAAATTTCTTAAAACAACAACCCAAAGGAAATTACAAGGATCAATTTATGGCTTCTTCTGTTTTTCTATCTGATGCAAAGATTTATCATTTCCTAGTGATTGCATTCTTTCCTTTCTTATGATGGCAAGGAAAATTTTAGGATTTCTTTTTTTTTTTTCTCGCAATATAATAAATAAACAAAATCACTTAAACTTCAAGAGAGAATGAATAGAAAATTATTTATTCATCATCCATAGAATTTTTAGATTTTACAAATGAGATAAATAAAATCAAAATAAATATATAAAAAATATATAGATTAATATTTGATGTATTGTCAATATATAAATTTTAGATATATTAATGAATTATATGATGTTATATCATTAACGAAAAAAATAAAATTGTATAATTCTTTAAAAATAATATACATAAATTTTATAAATCCTTTAAAATAAATACACAAATTTATATTTTTTCATTAGGATGTGACATTATATAATTTATTGGTAATGTTTAAATTTTATATATTGATAATATATCAAATATAAATATATATATTATAATACAAAATATTGTTCGACGGCTTATGGTCCTAATTTTCCCGATTTCATAAGTTTTTCTTTCACCAAGTTAAATTTATGTGTTGTACATGTAAACTCCTTATTTCATCAAATTTATTCTTTAAAAAGAAAAAAAAAAATGCTTGGCTTGGTTATCCCAAAGAGAGTGCCCTAATCAAGTTTCATAAGATAGTTTTGCAGCATATATATTATATTGCATCTTGTTGCGGTTGTTGATTACATCAAGTTGCTCTAATAAAATGAATTAATTAACGAAGTCTCTCCACTCTTCTTCATTTCTTTATTTAATTACTTTAAACTTTTTTTTTTATCCTTTACCAATCAGTGATGGGTACTTTGGGAGCTATATGTAGACTTAATATAATAAAACAAAGTTGTTCATTAAGATAATAAACTTAGGGCCTGATCTTCAATCTTTTGCTGCGAGAAAATTATAGTACATTTTTTAACACTTGGTTGCCAAGCCAAAGCCAGGTGTTACCCATCTCTCGTCTTTCCCCGGATGGCGAAGGCTCAAGCAAAAATGGGTTTAGCCTCGTAGCAAAAAGAGCTCCAAATCTTTTCTAGCAGCTAACTTTTAAGCACCACGAAGAGGAGATAAAAGATCGGAAACTTAGATCAATTAATTTATATAATTATTTTTTAAAAATAACATTAGATAAATTTAAAATTTTAGTATTTACAATTGTCAATCTCTTTTATAAAAAATAATAAGAGATAGACTAAAAGCAAAAGATTCATGCATGTGTTTTCTTGCAACTTGCTTGAAAAGTTTATGAAAATCTTTTTTTTTTTTACCATTATAAAGGTAACAATCAAAAGCCAAAAAGTATACTCCCTCTCTAATCTTTCTTCCAAAGCTCAGTTAATTCCTTTCATTTTTATTCCGATCCTTGAATTTACTCTAAGATGGCGCATATAATCTTATGACCATTTTTTTCTTAGTGGGAAAAATCCTTTTCATAGTGGGTGTGATGTGACTGTCATCTTTATCTTTGAATTCTACATTTAGTATTTTTTTTTTTTACCATTTACCTTGATCCTTTTTTGACTCCATTAATTGGCTACGAAGTTGCTGCTGCATCCAACTTGCAAAATAATTAATTCACTAGAGAACCGGTGGGTTGGAATTTTGATACCTGTTCCAGCTAAACCTGGCATCAATTTTTTTCAACTCTTCTTCGATCTTTTCTTTATTGATTTATTTGGTGATGGGTTCTATGCCTTGAAAAAAAAAATGGCATAGTCAAAAACATATACCATATGACAAATTAAACAAATACAGGAAGACCCAATATTCTAATAACTTTATTGTTTAGTTTTAAGGCTTTCTTGTGAGATTAAAAAAAAACAAAGATTTTGGATAAAATACGATGACTTGAATCCCACAACTAAATTGAAAATTTCAATGCAAAAACACGGAAACAAAGCAGTGATTCAAATTCAAGCTAGTGGCAGGCTACTCGTCCAACCAATTACGCGGCACTGCTCTGTTTTCGCTACCGTTGAAAATTGCCTTAAGATGACACTTTTAAGCAACACAGACAGGCATTGAAATATATTTTTTTTT